CTTTGTCTAACTCCTCTTTGGATGTTTGTGGTTTCAGTATCACAAGTCTGACAGAGGCGTTGTGGTTCCAGTAGAGTTCACGTATTGTATTAATGTCGTTTGGATCTAGGTTCTTTTTTTGCAAGCATTCTATTAGCTGATCGTGTTTGACTTTGTTAAAAGGCTTTTCATAATCTATAAAGCACAAGTAGACATCTTTTTGTTGATCCCGACACTTTTGCATGAGAACAATAAAACTGAACAAAGCTTCTCGAGTTCCCATACCGTTTCGGAAGCCAAATTGTTACGGACCCATATCTTCTACGCATTTTTTGTAAATTATGTTATGGATAATTTTTAGAAATAGCTTCAGAATATGGGGCATGAGACTTATTAATCGAAAATCGTTACATTTTTTTGCGTAGTTTGATTTAGGTATAGGCACAAACGTAGACGTTAACCAATCTTGTGTAATTATACCAGTCTTGTATACACTGTTGAAGATATTAATTCTAAATTGTCTTCTTCCAAAAGTTGTATAATTTCACTATGAATGTAGTCAAGTCCAGAGGCTTTCCCGGTTTTTATATTTTTTAAGGTGTATTTTATTTCTAATGTTAAGATGGCAAGTCGTTATTTTCAATGTTTGTTTGTCTATCAATACTTATTGTTTTATCGTCTGAGAATAGGTTTTTTATGTATGTTCGCCATTCAACGCCTATTTCTTCTATTATGATCAGGACTCTATCATCCGTACTTGTTATTGTGCCACACTGCCTGGCGTTTCTGATCCCATACATTTCTTTAATTTTCTTATGGAAAAGTCTATCATCATCTGTAGGCCTTCTATCTCTTCCCAGGTTTCTACAAGCCACTGTGTTTCCAGTCTCTTTTTTCTTATTAGTCTTTGTATTTCTTTATATTTATTCCAGTCTTTGTTCTTGTGTTGTCATCTCACATTCATCATTTCTAATATTTCATTAGTTATCCATGGTTTCTTGCCTCTTTGATTCGTGTATTTAAGGTGGTCTTCAGCTTTTAGAAATACAGTCTTAAGTTCTTTCCATATTTGGTTTAAGTCGTCGGATTCTTTCGGTGCATTATTTTCCTTTTGTCTGTTTTTAATTTCTCGATGCAGTGGACGTATAGTCTGCGCGCAGGTAATTTAAACCATGTATTCATAATAGTACAAAAACAAAAAACAGTACTATCAAAGTGTATGCAAAGAAATTAAGAGACATGGTCAGAATAATCAGCCGAGAGCTCTATTTAGAAAAATACGCTACCTGACAAGAGACTTCAGAGCCAGAACTTGTGCCATTGAAGATAACACTGGAACCCTGAGAACAAACAGAGAAGACATAGCAGAGACATGGAGATCGTATTGCATGGACCTATATAAAGATGATCAACGCCAAGAGCTTGTTAGCCAAATCTCTGACGAGGTGGAAGAAGAACCTGATATACTCGAAAATGAAGTAAGACAGGCTATCAACAAGCTCAAATATAACAAAGCACAAGGTCCAGATATGATAACAGCAAAAATGCTTAAAGCCACAGAAGAAACCGTCGTAAAGTTATTTCATCTACTCTGTAACCAAATATGGCATTCCAAACAATGGCCTGAAGACTGGACAAAATCTACAATAACGACCATACATAAAAAAGGCAGCTTCCATAAATGTGACAATTATAGAACCATCTCTCTTATATCCCATGCCAGCAAGATAATGCTACATTAAATCAATGAGAGACTGAAAACATTCCTTCAAAGAGAAATTCCACAAGAGCAAACTGGATTTACCAAAGGTAGAGGCACTCGAGAACACCTGCTGAATATAAGACAGATAATCGAGAAATCTAGGGAATTCAACATCCCACTATACATCTGTTTTATAGATTACCGTAAAGCGTTCGACAGGGTCAAGTGGAGACACTTATGGCGAATACTAAAAGAAGTAGGCGTATCACAACATCTAATTACGCTTATAACTGAACTATATGAACACACTACTGGATCAGTTAAAGTATTTGACACACTTTCGAACGGGTTTCATCCAGAACGGGGTGTCAGACAAGGATGTATAATATCTCCACAATTATTCAACATATATGGAGAGTATATTATGCGAAGAGCACTTGAAGGATGGGAAAAGGGCATCTCAATAAATGGTCATAAACTAAACAACCTACGATTCGCAGATGACACAGCCCTTCTTGCAAATAGTCGAGCAGAGCTGATGGAACTTATAGGACTGATCGAAAACGAAAGTCAAATATTTGGTCTGCAATTAAACATATCAAAGACAAAGATCATGATAGTGGATAGACTACACAACAATCATCCACACATAACCACAATTGACCGGTTCGAGGTTGTGAGCTCATACTTATATCTGGGATCATTAATCACAAACACAGGGTCATTACAAGAAGAGATTAAACGTAGATGTGATCTAGCAAAAGTTGCCACAGCAAAAATGACCAAAATATGGAAGGAATGTCAAATTTCAAGAGCGATAAAGATGAGGTTGATCAACTGCTTAATATTCCCAATACTGACCTACGGATGTGAATCTTGGACTCTGAGACAATCGGAGAGAAAAAAGATAGACGCCACTGAAATGTTCTGTTGGAGACGAATGTTACGAATTCCTTGGACCGACCGTAGAACAAATAATTCAATTTTAAGAGAGCTAAAAGTTAGCCAACGGCTCTCTAGTAGAGTCCATCTCCAACAATTAAAATATTTTGGGCATGGTATGAGAGCAAGCACAGAAAACATGGAAAGACTCATAATACAAGGAAAGCTAGAAGGCCGAAGATCACGAGGAAGAACCCCAACAAGATGGATAGATCAAATCACAGGAATATGCCAAAGACCTATGCATAAATTAAAAGAAATGACCAGAGACAGAGATCTCTGGAGACGAACAATACACGACATCACGTCGACCACTACACTCCCACTGGGGGGTCAGGATTCAAGAGAGAGATTCATAATAGTAATATTCTGTTCTTGGCAAAAATTGAAACAGCCTATCGCCTCTTTCATTTCGCTGACCTAATCCATGTTCTCCAATGATATTCTCAGATCTATCTTTTTCCACTTTTGCATTCAGATCTCCCATTATTATCGATATTTCATGCTTTTTTGTAAGCTGCATTAGTCTTTGTAGGTCTCCGTAGAACTCTTCAATTTCAGTGTCGGGTTTATCAGTTGTTGGAGCATATACCTGTATGATATTGATATGGATTGGACTTCTATGTAATTGTAGAAGTAGCATACGATCCGAGTGGTAGACCACGTTTTTAATGCATTTTCTTATACCTTCGCTTACGATGATACCAACTCCATTCCAATGCTGTCTTTGATTGCTACCTGAGTGGTATATTGTCTTGTCAATTTTCGTCATTCCTAAACTAGGCCACCTCATCTCACTGATGCCAAGGATACTTATGCCATGTCTATTTATTTTTGGATGGTGTTGTGGATTTTGCCGGCTTCAAACATACTGTTGACAATCCAGGTTCCAATTTGTACGATTTGTCTATTTTTAAATCTTTTCACTTTCGGGTGGGTCCTAGTCTTCTGCGTGGGAATTCTTAGCACTCCTAAGGTCTGCCACGGACTAGGGATCAATTGTGTGGTTGTGCTTTGCATGGTCATTAGTCTAAGGAAATCTGACGATCTTTAATGTAGTGGTTTCCCGTTGCCTTCTACATCCTTATGCCGTTGACCATATATAGGTTTATTCGCCTTTGAGGTCAATTTCTCAACACCAAGACAAAAAAGTGCCCTAACCACCTACCAACTCATCCGCCCGAAGCCGTTGGTCAGTAAGTAGGGGATTTCTTATACCGGCAATCGCTCGGTGGAATTTTTGCCATACCTGGCTACCCTTACTTTGTTTAGCCTGCAGACCAATGCAGTTGCCCAGGGTGTGGCATGTGGAGCAATAAGTGAGAGTAAGTGTCTTATGAAGACCAGTTATCAAGAACCATCTCCCGTCTATGACGCTCGATGTGGTCATTCCGATAAAAGGTGCTACCTCTATAACACAACTTTACACCCCGAAAAACATATGACGTCATATAAATTTTGATCCGCAAGGAAAGCATTAGTCATATCGACTTTATTAGAAATACACTGCTAATTAAAATGAAACATGCTTACCGTACCTTGTCGAATTAGTTTATTTTGATAAAAGTTTGTAAAAGCTTCTAGGTTTCTTCCTCAATTTTGTTACTGTTTGGATTGTCTGGATTAATAGATCAGATCTATCTGTATATTTATTTGGCGACTATAATTTACCACTGACTTCTGGGGCTTAATCAAATAAAGAGGGCTTGCTCGCTTACAACAATAGTTGACAACAATAGCTCGTTGCCCACAAAACTATCCAGCAAAGTCACTATACCGCTTCTCTTACCTAAACCTGAGGCAATCATGGCAAACATGAGTATATATAAAAGATCCCCTTTTCCAAAGTATTGAAAATTATCAGAAAATATCAGTTTACGAGACATTTGACAAGTTCCTTCCCAATAAGTTTCCTTAATTATTTGTAATTTTAGTTGTAATGATAATGTTAAACAATTAGACTACAGTACTATATATTTTGACTCTCATCATGAAAATTTCATAGGTCTAAACAATAATTATTTTTCTCAGTTGACTGAAATACTATTTTTGAGGACTCAGATATTAATATCTTAGTAAATAATTTCTATGAAGTAGCCTCTAAATATCACTTTATGTTTCGAAAAAAAAACGGCTTAAATTTTTGTACAAATGTGGACATTTCCGTAAATAAAAAAATAATATAAAAAAACATACATTTACTACGATATTGATAAAAAAAAATAAGAACGGAGCTGAATAAATTCCTAATGTTACTATTTTACCTCTTTTTTATTCTGACGTCCCTCTTTTAGCTCTTTTTTATTATTAATAAAAAGATATTTGCAACAGTACCGTAGTAAACTATTAATTGAAAGAAAATTATATATAAACATACCTTGGTGAATAAGGACAAGTTCTGTCGTACTACCCAATGGAATATGTTTTAAATGAACGCAATCACAGTGTTCTTTATTTTTACATCTCTCAGGTAAATTCTTTTCGTTGCACATTAGATCTAATGGTACATCTGTTGGTTGTGTCAAGATTGGAGAGGGAGGAAATGTAAATGACACGTTATTTGTTTTATACTGATTTATTAAATGCGTTCCTAAAAATAAAGAAAGTATTAAAAAAGCATAGGGACAAATATAACCTCTTTAAACATGAAATATATGACTTAACAACCACTACCAACAACACAAGCGAACATAATATACTGAGTCAGGTGCCAGTAAATTTTGTGGTACGCTTGATTACTTAATTGTCTGCACCAAAAAATTATCCTTTTATATTCTACAACCATCGAATCATCTCGAATTCTCCAGAAACTTAGCGCAACCAGAAGATTTTCTCCGAACTACGCGTCAACGAAAAAGCTTCGCCACAAACCAAAGTCATTCGAATAAAATGATGAAAAAGTTGCCAATGTTGGTCCATAATACTGGTGTATAGGAGATAGTCAATTCTCTCAATCTTAGGTAGGTGTATTGTAATAAAATTGTATGCTAACGGTTTCGAGGTTTATAGTATATGCTCCATTATCAGGCCATAGTACAAAGGTCTTAGTTTTAATAAAAACCAAAAGCTAAAAACAACATGAAGCAAACAATGAACACACATTACAAACAAAAATTAAAGTCAAAACTAAAGTAAATCATATTTATGATAGCAACTACAACCTTAATTGAGTAAGAAAATTTATATTAAATATTGTATAAAATGTTAATTTTTTAAGAAATCTAAATTTAATTTATAGGAGAATTAGCAAAATATAAAGTATATCAAAACATCAGTGGCAATGGTTACAATCAGTCTGATGGAATATACTTATACAATCTCCTCAGTCATAAACTGTTTATTTGTTGTAGGGTACGTAGAATTTAGGTCAAAAATAAAATTACCAGTTCAAATTTAGTTGAATTATATGAAAGAGTTAGAGCTTAAATATCAGACACAAAAAGACTCTCCTATAGAGCGTTCCACGTTAAGAAAATAACATTGCGGAGATAGGGCTATGTATTTCTTATGGACGATAGAAGCGCAGCGATGCCACGATGAACACAAGCACGATTAAGGTTTGCTCATTAAGCAAAAGTGCCCATTCGAAACAAGAGATGGAAAATAGGGAAAATGATTTTAATTAAATAAATATTATTTACAAAAAATAATTTTATGTTATATTATTTTAATTATAGTAACGACAGTTTATTTGTTTTTCGGTGAGAATACCATACGCCATGAATTATGGAAATCAGTAGAAAATATTACTTAGCTAAATCATGCATTTTGCCAGCTATTAAAGATAAGCAATTAAATGCACCGCTTTATGTAGCGCGGTTGTTTAGGTATCCGTTGGAATGCATATTTTATATCAAATTATTATTTGCAACTAATAATATGCCGCAAAAAGTTCACGTACGTTGCAATAGTTCATACGCAGCTGCGTGCTATCGTGCATAGTTTTTGCTTTAAAAATTGACCGCCGACATTGAATAAAGTTTTTGCTCTGGTTAAAAAAGACAAAGATTTAGCAAACATATCACGCACAACAATGTAAAGAATACTTCATGAAATGAACTTTACTTTTTGCAAACGAGGAGCAAAGTCAAGCATGATTGAACAGCCCGATATTGTAAAATGGAGGTATCAGTATTCGCGTGAGATAAAAATATTCGTTCTTAAGAACACACCGTCGTTTATTTGGACGAAACTTGGGTGAATGTTGGACATTGTGTTTCCAAAAAGAATGGAAGGACCTCTCAGTGACTTTAACTAGGAATGCATTTGTTAAGGGGTTGTCAACAGGCCGAAAACAGCCCATACCGCGAGGCCCCCGATTTGTTATCGTGCATGCGGGTAGCGAATTAGGCGTTGTCGAAAGTGCTGTTTTTTCGTTTTTAGCTAAAAAAAAAGCGGACTATCATGAATAGTTGGATGGTCCTATATTTGAACAATGGTTTAAGGAAAAGCTACTTCCTAATCTTCCAGAGAAGAATGTTGTGGTGATGGACAACGCTTCGTACCATTCGACGAGAGAAAAAGTGATTCCGACACAAGCTTTCAATAAAGATCAAATTGAGACATGGTTGCTGGAGAAAGACATCTTTTTTTGAAGAAGATTATTTAAAATCAGAGCTCATGGAAGTTGTGACCTTGTTCTTAAGGAAGAGCAAAAATTTTGGGTTATTGACCGGTTGATGGACGATATTGATACTGTGGTAATAAATGTGACAGTGCAAATCGGCTGACACAAAGTGCCAAATCCGAAAAGTTTATAAATAATAGTCCGGCAATAGTGATATGGAATAACCACATACGCAGAATGGGGGAGACACGTGTGGTCAAAATAGCAAGAGATAAATCATTAATCGGTAGAAGAAGTATCGGCCGATCGCGCAAAAGATGGAGTGACAATCTTTCATAGAGGTATCAATCCACCAATGAACAAGCAGGATTGCTTATATATAAACAGGAAGAAGAATAGGAATATATCTTTGATATGCCAAAATTCACTTCTACTGCTTACTACCTTTGGGGAACTACCAGAGAACAACGACTGTTCGCCTTGCACCCTTGAAAAACAACTGATTATCTTTTCTCCCTCAAAAATCTAGCTAAACTATCATTCCTACATACCTATCCCCCTTTTTTTAATCTCCTCCAATCAAAGCTCGTCACACTTATCCCCATCTACCATTTAGATAACAAACAACAATTTTACCTACAATTATAAATTTCCTTAAAACTATTACCATGCTAATCGGGATGCAAGAGATAAATCATTAATCGGTAGAAGAAGTATCGGCCGATCGCGCAAAAGATGGAGTGACAATCTTTCATAGAGGTATCAATCCACCAATGAACAAGCAGGATTGCTTATATATAAACAGGAAGAAGAATAGGAATATATCTTTGATATGCCGAAATTCACTTCTACTGCTTACTACCTTTGGGGAACTACCAGAGAACAACGACTGTTCGCCTTGCACCCTTGAAAAACAACTGATTATCTTTTCTCCCTCAAAAATCTAGCTAAACTATCATTCCTACATACCTATCCCACTTTTTTCAATCTCCTCCAATCAAAGCTCGTCACACTTATCCCCATCTACCATTTAGATAACAAACAACAATTTTACCTACAATTATAAATTTCCTTAAAACTATTACCATGCTAATCGGTTTCTACAAATTATTAAGAACTAACGGAAAAATATATTTTCTAAATATTTTTATTCTATTGTCTTATTCACTGTATATCGACGTATAAGTCTATTTGGAAAACCCGCTCAGATTGTTCACGATTTCACTAAGCTCACTCACGTCACTCGAATATATTTTACAAAGAAAATAATTTTTGCATATCTTTAAATTTTGTTTACTACAGGTAATCCAGGATAATGGACTTTCATTTCTTTGAAATATATTTTATAGTTTATTAGTTGAGTTATTTGAATTATTATATTTTGTACTTTGGAATATATTAAAAGCAAACCAATATTATTTTCAATTTTACATTGCACAACAATATATATATATATATATATATATATATATATATATATATATATATATATATATATATATATATATATTATGACTAAGTTATTTATGTGAAAAAGAAATTATTGCATCCTCTTAGAAAATTATAAATTTAATGAGGTTATTTTTCCAAATAGTAGTTGCATTTTTGCATGTGTTTAACATGTGTTTTGCATGTGCGTAACAAATTTTGTTTAATTTATTAATATTTGTATGTATTTTGAGAACAATTTCCGAAGTGTAAATTGAAACGTGAAAAAACTTAATTGTGGCTTATTCCCAATAAAATAGTAATAACTAATAACTAAAAGACGCCACAACAAAATAGCTTCAGAGCAATATTAAGACCTTTGTACTGTGACCGAATGATGGGGCAGATATTGTAAGCCTTGAAACCGGTAGCCTACAATTTTATTACAATAAAAGCTACATAATTTTGTGAGAATTAATTATCTCCAATACATCATTCATTCGAATGTATATAGTTCGCAAGCGAATGGTGGCGTATGTGTAGCATTTAGTGCATATTCAATTTATTATGGCTACCGGCGGAGACCTACCGGAGTCTTTGCGGAGCTCTGCGCAATAAACTTTGAGTAACACTGACCTCGAAAATCTTTAAACGGCTCTAGTGTCTTGAGATATATTGCCCACTCACTCTTAGTTGTTTTTTTTTCTAGTAACTTTAAAAATAAAAGTCTAAAAAAAATGAAAACAGAAAAAATTTTAACTTACTTCTGGTAAGTCCATGAACGTTCCTTTTATCAAATGCGAGAAATATCTTCTTTTCCACAACTAAATGTCTTAAACTTCCTTCCATTCCTTCGTTAGGTTTTATGTCCCTTACACAAAGTTTTCCGGTTTTCTGATCACAGAAACCAGTGTCGAAATTTCTTAAATCGGCTGCATAACTTATATTTTTTAAATTATTTTCTACTGAAGAGCCTTTGTACGTGACTATAGCTTTTCCGATTAATTCTTTAGACCTACAGGTTGATTTGGCTGTTATAAGATAAGATCCGGGCTTTTGGTTCGCTTCTAATACGAACTCAAGTGTCTCTCCTTTGTTTACTTTAATAGAAGTAACTTCTAGTGGAATTATTGGAGTGCCGTCAACAGATAAAACTTTTACAACATGGTTATTAATGGTTATAGTTAATGGACAACCCAGACCACTTGCATATATTAACCTGAAAAGGTTTCTGGTTCTCCTTTTTACTGTCAATTTGGACAATTGTGGACTAGAAGGTCCTACACCATTAATTAAAACACTATTATTAGTTTCAGCTATAACCAGAACGTGGTTCTTATTATCAATATCGTAATTATATATATTTGGTTCAATCTTTTCCGCTTTTCTTATTACTAAGGCACCGTGCAATCCGTTTGTTCGCTCAAAATCCGAAAACGCGTGATATGAGTGTGTTCCGGGAGAGGACGCCCTAAATTTATACTGATACGTTGTATAAGGCCCCACTGGGCATTGAGTTATCAAAGGTACACCATCCATAAATGGCGTTTCTTCGTTATTTTGCCCTCTCCAATGCATGGTGAGACTTTCTGTTTGTAATTTATTGATTACATCTACTATTAATATGTCATTATGACATACGTGGAAGGTAGGAGCTGGAAGCTGGCGATTAATGAGTGTTAGTTCTTGTGGTAAGTCAACTTGAGATGTACAATATGGACAGTCGACGCTATTTTGGCATTCTTGGCATATCCTAAAACATAAGAATGTTGCAAATGATTATAAACTTAAATACAAGACCTACGTAGAAGATAAAGTACGTAAGAAAGAGTTAACTTCATAAAAAATTTTAGTTAGAATCCAGGTAATATGTATAAACAGGAATATATATCTAATTGGATTATAGAATAGAATAGAACAGATTAGAATAGAATAGAATAGAATAAAATAAAATAAAATAGAATAGAATAGAATAGAATAGAATAGAATAGAATAGAATAGAATAGAATAGAATAGAATAGAAATAGAATAGAATAGAATAGAATAGAATAGAATAGAATAGAAGAATAGAATAGAATAGAATAGAATAGAATAGAATAGAATAGAATAGAATAGAATAGAATAGAATAGAAAATAGAATAGAATAGAATAGAATAGAATAGAATAGAATAGAATAGAATAGAATAGAATAGAATAGAATAGAATAGAATAGAATAGAATAGAATAGAATAGAATAGAATAGAATAGAATAGAATAGAATAGAATAGAATAGAATAGAATAGAATAGAATAGAATAGAATAGAATAGAATAGAATAGAATAGAATAGAATAGAATAGAATAGAATAGAATAGAATAGAATAGAATAGAATAGAATAGAATAGAATAGAATAGAATAGAATAGAATAGATAGAATAGAATAGAATAGAATAGAATAGAATAGAATAGAATAGAATAGAATAGAATAGAATAGAATAGAATAGAATAGAATAGAATAGAATAGAATAGAATAGAATAGAATAGAATAGAATAGAATAGAATAGAATAGAATAGAATAGAATAGAATAGAATAGAATAGAATAGAATAGAATAGAATAGAATAGAATAGAATAGAATAGAATAGAATAGAATAGAATAGAATAGAATAGAATAGAATAGAATAGAATAGAATAGAATAGAATAGAATAGAATAGAATAGAATAGAATAGAATAGAATAGAATAGAATAGAATAGAATAGAATAGAATAGAATAGAATAGAATAGAATAGAATAGAATAGAACAGAATAGAATAGAATAGAATAGAATAGAATAGACTAGAATAGAATATAATAGAATAGAATAGAAAGCTGTCTCCTAAAATAAGTGTTTTTACAGCAAAACTATTTTCAATCAATAAAGACCTAACCTTTATTCTAGAAAAAAACTTCCTAAATCTCTAATAATATCTGATTTACTTAGTTGTCCGAGATCAACTAAGAATGTTTAGTGGTGCTTATAGAAGCACCACTAAATTGATAGAAATAAAATCTTCCGTCCTTCCATGGAACTTCTGGCCTTCAGAGCGACAACATCAAGTCCTAATAACACGTCTCAGATTAGAACCCACTTCTACAATACATGAATACTTGTTGAACAGAGAAGAGGAACCAGTGTGTTTTGTTTGTAAACGTAAAGTAACAGTGAAGCACATTTTAATTGACTGTCCAATATACTCAGTAGAAAGACTATATCACCACATTCCAAAAACATTAAAAGAACTTCTAGCAGAATCTAAATACGTAGCTGACTTGATAGAATTTTTGAAATCTACAAACTTTTTTATTAAAGTGAAAAAGACAGCAAATATTTGATTTCACGCAAACAGCGCCTTTGTATCTGTTGATACGTATTTCGACCTAATAGGTCTCATCAGAACAGTTATTCAAAGGTGTTCTCAACGTGAAAGATCAATATTTCCTGTCTTTTTAAGAAGCAACAATAACATGGCTTCGAATACGGACGCACTAGCGAAATCTAATTTAACAAACGTAAAATAGTTTCGAAACACAATTCAGATTTCTGCTTTTATCTGTGCTTTCTAAAAATTGCAAAGCAAAACAGACGTTGATAAAGGTGTTAAAAGAGACGTGGGGAATCTAAAATTTGCATTCCACGACACATCTTTTCAACTAAGCAGAAATCCTTAGCGAATTGGTTTCTTGTACTCGTACAGAGTAAATCCGAAAAAAGTGAAAAAGACAGCAAATATTTGATTTCACGCAAACAGCGCCTTTGTATCTGTTGATACGTATTTCGACCTAATAGGTCTCATCAGAACAGTTATTCAAAGGTGTTCTCAACGTGAAAGATCAATATTTTCCTATCTTTTAAGAAGCAACAATAACATGGCTTCGAATACGGACGCACTAGCGACATCTAATTTAACAAACGTAAAATAGTTTCGAAACACAATTCAGATTTCTGCTTTTATCTGTGCTTTCTAAAAATTGCAAAGCAAAACAGACGTTGATAAAGGTGTTAAAAGAGACGTGGGGAATCTAAAATTTGCATTCCACGACACATCTTTTCAACTAAGCAGAAATCCTTAGCGAATTGGTTTCTTGTACTCGTACAGAGTAAATCCGAAAAAAGTGAAAAAGACAGCAAATATTTGATTTCACGCAAACAGCGCCTTTGTATCTGTTGATACGTATTTCGACCTAATAGGTCTCATCAGAACAGTTATTCAAAGGTGTTCTCAACGTGAAAGATCAATATCTTCTGTCTTTTAAGAAGCAACAATAACATGGCTTCGAATACGGACGCACTAGCGACATCTAATTTAACAAACGTAAAATAGTTTCGAAACACAATTCAGATTTCTGCTTTTATCTGTGCTTTCTAAAAATTGCAAAGCAAAACAGACGTTGATAAAGGTGTTAAAAGAGACGTGGGGAATCTAAAATTTGCATTCCACGACACATCTTTTCAACTAAGCAGAAATCCTTAGCGAATTGGTTTCTTGTACTCGTACAGAGTAAATCCGAAAAAAGTGAAAAAGACAGCAAATATTTGATTTCACGCAAACAGCGCCTTTGTATCTGTTGATACGTATTTCGACCTAATAGGTCTCATCAGAACAGTTATTCAAAGGTGTTCTCAACGTGAAAGATCAATATTTCCTGTCTTTTAAGAAGCAACAATAACATGGCTTCGAATACGGACGCACTAGCGACATCTAATTTAACAAACGTAAAATAGTTTCGAAACACAATTCAGATTTCTGCTTTTATCTGTGCTTTCTAAAAATTGCAAAGCAAAACAGACGTTGATAAAGGTGTTAAAAGAGACGTGGGGAATCTAAAATTTGCATTCCACGACACATCTTTTCAACTAAGCAGAAATCCTTAGCGAATTGGTTTCTTGTACTCGTACAGAGTAAATCCGAAAAAAGTGAAAAAGACAGCAAATATTTGATTTCACGCAAACAGCGCCTTTGTATCTGTTGATACGTATTTCGACCTAATAGGTCTCATCAGAACAGTTATTCAAAGGTGTTCTCAACGTGAAAGATCAATATTTCCTGTCTTTTTAAGAAGCAACAATAACATGGCTTCGAATACGGACGCACTAGCGACATCTAATTTAACAAACGTAAAATAGTTTCGAAACACAATTCAGATTTCTGCTTTTATCTGTGCTTTCTAAAAATTGCAAAGCAAAACAGACGTTGATAAAGGTGTTAAAAGAGACGTGGGGAATCTAAAATTTGCATTCCACGACACATCTTTTCAACTAAGCAGAAATCCTTAGCGAATTGGTTTCTTGTACTCGTACAGAGTAAATCCGAAAAAAGTGAAAAAGACAGCAAATATTTGATTTCACGCAAACAGCGCCTTTGTATCTGTTGATACGTATTTCGACCTAATAGGTCTCATCAGAACAGTTATTCAAAGGTGTTTTCAACGTGAAAGATCAATATTTCCTGTCTTTTAAGAAGCAACAATAACATGGCTTCGAATACGGACGCACTAGCGACATCTAATTTAACAAACGTAAAATAGTTTCGAAACACAATTCAGATTTCTGCTTTTATCTGTGCTTTCTAAAAATTGCAAAGCAAAACAGACGTTGATAAAGGTGTTAAAAGAGACGTGGGGAATCTAAAATTTGCATTCCACGACACATCTTTTCAACTAAGCAGAAATCCTTAGCGAATTGGTTTCTTGTACTCGTACAGAGTAAATCCGAAAAAAGTGAAAAAGACAGCAAATATTTGATTTCACGCAAACAGCGCCTTTGTATCTGTTGATACGTATTTCGACCTAATAGGTCTCATCAGAACAGTTATTCAAAGGTGTTCTCAACGTGAAAGATCAATATTTCCTGTCTTTTTAAGAAGCAACAATAACATGGCTTCGAATACGGACGCACTAGCGACATCTAATTTAACAAACGTAAAATAGTTTCGAAACACAATTCAGATTTCTGCTTTTATCTGTGCTTTCTAAAAATTGCAAAGCAAAACAGACGTTGATAAAGGTGTTAAAAGAGACGTGGGGAATCTAAAATTTGCATTCCACGACACATCTTTTCAACTAAGCAGAAATCCTTAGCGAATTGGTTTCTTGTACTCGTACAGAGTAAATCCGAAAAAAGTGAAAAAGACAGCAAATATTTGATTTCACGCAAACAGCGCCTTTGTATCTGTTGATACGTATTTCGACCTAATAGGTCTCATCAGAACAGTTATTCAAAGGTGTTCTCAACGTGAAAGATCAATATTTCCTGTCTTTTAAGAAGCAACAATAACATGGCTTCGAATACGGACGCACTAGCGACATCTAATTTAACAAACGTAAAATAGTTTCGAAACACAATTCAGATTTCTGCTTTTATCTGTGCTTTCTAAAAATTGCAAAGCAAAACAGACGTTGATAAAGGTGTTAAAAGAGACGTGGGGAATCTAAAATTTGCATTCCACGACACATCTTTTCAACTAAGCAGAAATCCTTAGCGAATTGGTTTCTTGTACTCGTACAGAGTAAATCCGAAAAAAGTGAAAAAGACAGCAAATATTTGATTTCACGCAAACAGCGCCTTTGTATCTGTTGATACGTATTTCGACCTAATAGGTCTCATCAGAACAGTTATTCAAAGGTGTTCTCAACGTGAAAGATCAATATTTCCTGTCTTTTAAGAAGCAACAATAACATGGCTTCGAATACGGACGCACTAGCGACATCTAGCGACTCAGCTTTAGAAAGCACAGATAAAAGCAGAAATCTGAATTGTGTTTCGAAACTATTTTACGTTTGTTAAATTAGATGTCGCTAGTGCGTCCGTATTCGAAGCCATGTTATTGTTGCTTCTTAAAAGACAGGAAATATTGATCTTTCACGTTGAGAACACCTTTGAATAACTGTTCTGATGAGACCTATTAGGTCGAAATACGTATCAACAGATACAAAGGCGCTGTTTGCGTGAAATCAAATATTTGCTGTCTTTTTCACTTTTTTCGGATTTACTCTGTACGAGTACAAGAAACCAATTCGCTAAGGATTTCTGCTTAGTTGAAAAGATGTGTCGTGGAATGCAAATTTTCGATTCCCCACGTCTCTTTTAACACCTTTATCAACGTCTGTTTTGCTTTGCAATTTTTAGAAAGCACAGATAAAAGCAGAAATCTGAATTGTGTTTCGAAACTATTTTACGTTTGTTAAATTAGATGTCGCTAGTGCGTCCGTATTCGAAGCCATGTTATTGTTGCTTCTTAAAAGACAGGAAATATTGATCTTTCACGTTGAGAACACCTTTGAATAACTGTTCTGATGAGACCTATTAGGTCGAAATACGTATCAACAGATACAAAGGCGCTGTTTGCGTGAAATCAAATATTTGCTGTCTTTTTCACTTTTTTCGGATTTACTCTGTACGAGTACAAGAAACCAATTCGCTAAGGATTTCTGCTTAGTTGAAAAGATGTGTCGTGGAATGCAAATTTTAGATTCCCCACGTCTCTTTTAACACCTTTATCAACGTCTGTTTTGCTTTGCAATTTTTAGAAAGCACAGATAAAAGCAGAAATCTGAATTGTGTTTCGAAACTATTTTACGTTTGTTAAATTAGATGTCGCTAGTGCGTCCGTATTCGAAGCCATGTTATTGTTGCTTCTTAAAAGACAGGAAATATTGATCTTTCACGTTGAGAACACCTTTGAATAACTGTTCTGATGAGACCTATTAGGTCGAAATACGTATCAACAGATTCAAAGGCGCTGTTTGCGTGAAATCAAATATTTGCTGTCTTTTTCACTTTTTTCGGATTTACTCTGTACGAGTACAAGAAACCAATTCGCTAAGGATTTCTGCTTAGTTGAAAAGATGTGTCGTGGAATGCAAATTTTAGATTCCCCACGTCTCTTTTAACACCTTTATCAACGTCTGTTTTGCTTTGCAATTTTTAGAAAGCACAGATAAAAGCAGAAATCTGAATTGTGTTTCGAAACTATTTTACGTTTGTTAAATTAGATGTCGCTAGTGCGTCCGTATTCGAAGCCATGTTATTGTTGCTTCTTAAAAGACAGGAAATATTGATCTTTCACGTTGAGAACACCTTTGAATAACTGTTCTGATGAGACCTATTAGGTCGAAATACGTATCAACAGATACAAAGGCGCTGTTTGCGTGAAATCAAATATTTGCTGTCTTTTTCACTTTTTTCGGATTTACTCTGTACGAGTACAAGAAACCAATTCGCTAAGGATTTCTGCTTAGTTGAAAAGATGTGTCGTGGAATGCAAATTTTAGATTCCCCACGTCTCTTTTAACACCTTTATCAACGTCTGTTTTGCTTTGCAATTTTTAGAAAGCACAGATAAAAGCAGAAATCTGAATTGTGTTTCGAAACTATTTTACGTTTGTTTTTTATTAAAATTTAATACAATACATCAATAATTAAAATATATATTGTATACATTATTATGTAATTGATATTTTGTATATGCCTATGTAACTCTTTATTACTTTTTGTATTTTTCTTATGCTAATAACCCTAAGTGGTTGAAGCAAAATAAATAAAAGAAAATATTCCTGTATTTAGTTTTTGTTATACTTTCAAAATAAAATATTTTTTATGAAATTTTCTGATTGTTTTTACCGGTCGCTATATATACCATTGTCCAGTAAGTATTAGTTGTTTGGCACACTGGTAGCTGTATGTACCTCTCTTTTCAGCCCATCTGACAAAAAACATTTTTTGTCTTGTTATAATGGATAATTAATTACTTTTACTATTCAAAAGCATATTTTTCCAAAAAGAAATAGTTCTGCCCGTGAAAGGGTTAATTGGTTTGTCTGGAGATGCTTAAATGGTTTTTCTGAAAATGTTTAAGAGACCTTCGTCCAATTCTAATTCTTTGTTTTTGTAGAATAACATTTTTAATATAGATGTTATTATTTTCTTTTGCTTTCCTATAGAAATTCTTCATCAAAATATTTATTATTAAACATTTCTTAGATCATTCCTAAATTTCGTAAAATAATTATATTTTCTGCAGACCGACTTTCTTTCTTTTGTGTGATGTTTTCGTCTAACTCGCCTCTAGTTTTTTATTTCGACGTATCGATAAAAACATGATTCCACTGCTTTTTTAATTCTAAATTAATACTGTGAAAAAATCCTACTTACACAGATGTGGGTAATTTTTCTATTGTTAACTTAAATCTACATATCATAGGCCAGTCAAGTTCGTGGCAAGGTCGATCACAGCTTTTGACTGATTGATCTAAAACAAATAAATTTTTATTATATTAAACTTCTACTCAATTAAACTAATTACCTAATGGACATAAATGAAAATGAAAATGGAGAATATTGTAAACATACAACAGTACAATATACAAAGGTTACATGATTTTTGTTTGTTTATTATTTAATTATTATTTGTTTGTTCATTTATGTACTTAGCAAACTCAATATACTATTTTTATCTTCCACTGTAAAGTATTATAAAACGTATGTATGCAGATATACGATAACCCATACAAAAGTTGTTTGATAAATTACTAAATAGGGTAAGGTGGGAGAAGTGCGCCCCCTTTTATTCACATTTGGTTTTAATTTTATCAATGCTTCAATTGGGTTATTTCTGCTAAATCGAGATAAGTGCACCAAGTACTTTGACAATGATCTTTATTTAGGGAAGATTCCAAATCTGTGGCTTTTCACAATTATTAATTATAATTTTTTTTCTCTTACATATCGCAGTAGCGCACGTGCCCCGTCAGTTTAAGGCAAGTGCGTCTCCAGAGCATAGTTTTATATAGTTTCCTTGCGTCGAATTACGGTGGTAAGTGCACTTATTTACTAGACTTTTCTGAACACAGTTCTATTTTTTTTCTATTTTCATAATTTTAAAAACAAAATAACTTCAGAATGGTCTAATGACACATCAAAAAATGTGAAAGTATTTTATTTAAATGCAAAAATTGTACAGTTTATCTTAATTTATGTTGTATATCTTGCGGAAACTTAATATTGAAATTATGGATTCCTCTTTTAACATGTGGAGCTGGTAATACTTTAAGGATACCCTCTTTTCTCACAAGGGATGTATCTTGCACCTGAGGAAAAACAAAGCACAAAGCGTTTTTTCCTCAGGAACTTCACTTTGGTTTTACTTTCATTGAGAGAAATCACGTGGTCTATATATAAAATGTCATTTCCCGACTTTGGCTTTTAAAAGTTACCAGAACCCAGTCTCCCACAGAAAATTCAGGCGGAGAACCAAGAAATAGTTCCTCCTCGTCATCTTCTTCTTCTAACGATATCTGGCTCACGAAGTCGCTACTTTCAGACTCATAGTGTAGAGAGAACTGATCGTCCTGGTCTTCATCTCTTGAGTCTTGGAAAGTGCCTTTGCTGGGTCTGGCAGTGATCACTTCACTGCCTACCGCAATTCGCTTCTTCTTTTTTGTTGTAGTTGGTGTTCCGCTTTTTACGGTTTGTAGTAGGAGATGTTCGAAAGATACTGGAAATCTAAAAACAGAGAAAAAAATCATAGGTTACGAGAGTAGCTCGCTAAAATCCTACGTCCATATTGTTGAAATACAATACTCACGAGTTAGTCTCGAAGATGACAACATCTGTCACATCTAAAGTCTCTTGGCGCTAATCTCTGACGTCCGCTAAAATCTGCCATCGCATTAAGGAAGAAACCTCGTAACGATCTTTGGGTACAACTTCATCATCAAATGGAAAGATACCTCCCTTCTTAAATCCATTTTTGATAACTTCTGGGTTGATTGTTGTCCATATTTTCCGAATCAGCTTAGAAAAAACTTTTTTGGAAATTCTCCGACCAGCAAACTGTCGCTGCCACTTCACAAGTTCTTCGTCCCACATTGATTTTAAAGCTTTGAACACCGCTAAATCCAATCGCTGGAGTATTTGACTTGTATGAGCCGGTAGTTTGAGGATGGTGATTGCTGCCGATCTCACGTAATTGACCAAATCTGCCGTAAAGTAGGTTGAATGTCCGTCGTAAATAACTAGTATAGGCCGATCATGACCAATGTTTTTTACAAAAGTACACTCAAAATAATTGCGAAATACAAAAGGGTAGCGGCATAAGCAGTAGCAGAGAAGGCATCATGTTCATCGGCCATCCATTCATCCCAGATATTTTTGCTTTTAAAAATGATTAATGGGGATTTTTTTCGCCTTTAGCACTCTCTGCCAGCACCACTGTAGTGTTCTCCCTTCCTGGGCCACTGGTGGTTCTTGTGCATGGTGCTCCTTGCTTCCCAACAAATTTTGTTTTAGAGGGGTCACTCGAAAATCCTGTTTCATCTATATTGTAGATTCTCTTAGGTTGTCAGCAAGTCCCAAAGATTGAATGGTTTTGCTCAATAACTTAAAATAATCTTTAACAAAAGGATGCATGGCTTTCTTCCTTGCAAACTCAACTATTACCGGTTTCTTTATTGACAGCCGATGTCTTCTTTTAAAATTTAAGAACCAGTCTTCACCTGGTCTACATCTTTAAATTGAGTTTTTAAGATGTTTGATTTGACGAACTGTTGGGGTGATTCTTAACCTTCTTTACGGGACAAACAGAATCCCCATTGCTCCATCGTGAGAAGACCTTCTGCCAATCGCCTTTCTTCTGCCAATGGAATGTCGGTAGATCGACCTTGTCCTTATCTCTTCGCGTCTCTTCTTCCACTCAAGTGCTCCCGTAATGTTGTCACAGGAATATTGTATGTGCGCGATGCTCCCTTGACAGTAAAATTCTGATTTTTTAAAATAAACTTGAACTTCTTCAAATTTCTGCAATACTAACCGATAATATTCAATAAAAATTAAAATTTAGTAAGTGGTACGAGATTAACAAGACTTACCTGCTCTTTGTATAATCTCAAACGTAACTACCAACAAACACGTGTGCTACTATGTCGTGAATTCAACTATGTTGCCATTCATGTGTGTAGCTGTTTCGTTTAATACTTGGCGCTGAATTTGAAATCGGTTTCATAACCAACTTCACGTTACAAATATTTTTATATAATCCAAACGCACTTACCCCGGGTACGCACTTGCCCCTCCTTGCCCTAGTTCAAATAATAATACGGCACGGCACGCAGCTGGAAATATCCCAACGTACTTTATTTTCCTATTTCATTTTCGAATTTTCTTCGTTGGGTCGCAATATTGAATTGAACTCGCAGGAAATGATTGTGAACTTTACATTCTGCAGATGTTCGACCAGTTTTTATGAATTTATTTTCTGATAGAATTTTATGTTAAACGCAAGTGTCGAGAATATCGGGAGTAGCTTGTGATTTATATTCAAGAGATTATAAACTGTTAAGAGCATTTTTTAACCTAAAGGGAAAAAGGAACATGCCGATTTTTTCTGACTTCTATCGCTCTTTAAACCACTTGTTGCCTTGATAATATATTACTATGTACAACATATATTTAATATATTTAAAAAAAGAATTTCGAAAAATCACGAGGAAAATAATACAGGAAGCAGAAAAATTTGGACCGAAAATAAACCAAAATATTGGAGATGTGTAGTTTTCGGAGACACAAGAAATAAGAAAAAGTACTTAAAGTGAATTTAAAATAACTTATTATAAACTTGAGTGCAAAACAATCGACTCAAAAGCAATATTTAACCTTCCGTTACTCGCGCACGGTGTATGAGACTGGCCCTGTAAATAATTTCGAGTAACTCTGATTGTAGTGGGGATTTGGAATGGCTGCTTCATGTACCTCTTCAGTCGTCGGTCACTTATCGTTGAAGTCTGTGTGAACTGTAAAAAAGAGCATTATAATTTTATTATTAGGCAACACGGTCCGGTACACCGGGTGCGAGTATTGTGGACACATTTTTCTGCTTTGGATCAGACATTGAAAGTTTTACTCTGCAAGGTGATTTAAGTTCTTTTTATTATTTTCAATGTTTATATATTTGTATATTTATAAATATATGAATATGGATTACGAGAAGGAGAAAAAGAGATTATTAAAATTATTTGAGGAAGTATCGACTGACGAGGAAACGTATGAAGATGATGATCAACAAAATGAAATTGACCATGTAGAAGAACGATCTGAATGTAGTGATACTGAACAGGAATTTGAAGCCGATCAAACAGAGGAAGAAAATGTTAGTTTTAGAAGGGAGCCGTACTTTATGGGTAAAGATAAATTAACAAAGTGGAAAAAAACATTGTCCACCGAAGAATGTAAGAACACGCAGTACCAATATATTTGTACGATTGCCAGCTATAAAACAATTTGTTAAAACTCAGTTGTTGACTATACAAATATAAAAATTCAGAGTGTTACAGATGACTACAGTAGACAAAGAGATGCGAAACCTACCGACATTGTCGAAATCAAAGCCCTAATTGGTCTCCTTTATCTTGCTGGTATTAGAAAAGCAAATCACATGAATTTAGAGGATCTCTGGAGAACAGATGGCACTGGCATTGAAACTTTTCGACTTGTAATGAGTAAGCCTCGATTTCAATTTCTTTTGCAATGTCTGCGATTTGATAACATTCACACGAGACATGAAAGAATACAGGTAGATAAACTGGCTCCAATACGAACATTGTTAGAAAAATTTAACAGCAACATTAAAAAATGCTATTCTCATTCTGGTTATGTTACCATAGATGAGAAACTAGAAGCTTTTAGAGGAAATTGTAGTTTCAGACAATATATTCCTAGCAAGCCGAATAAATATGGTATAAAAAATTTTTGCCATTTCCGATGCAAAACAATTCTATACCAGCCACTTAGAAGTTTACGTCGGAAAACAACCAAATGGCCCTTTTCAAGTTAGTACAGCGACGCAAGACGTAGTAGAAAGACTTTGTGCACACATTTATGGGAGTAATAGGAATGTTACTGTAGATAATTGGTTTTGTAGTGTGCCTCTAGCTGATAGCCTTAAATCAAAAAAATTAACTTTAGTGGGTACTATTCGAAAAAATAAAAAAACAGTTGCCATTAGAATTTATACAAAATAACGGCAGGTGCATTGGCTCTTCAATGTTTGGATTTAATGACGGAATCACCTTGGTTTCGCATATACCAAAAAAAAAATCGAAACGTCCTACTTATCTCTACAATGCACCATGCAGATGATATTGACCCTACCACAGGTAAACCTGAGATGATAATTACATATAATGAAACGAAGAGCGGAGTAGATGTGGTAGATAAATTATGCGCGCAATATAATTGCGCCCGTGCCACAAGACG